CCACCAACCAGTCGCCCCATTCCTCTTCCAAATTCGTGACGTCATCCGGCGCAACTTCACGTGCCAAATCGAGTGCGCGTGCGTAGGCGCCACCCTTGCGATACAAGCCCATAGCCGCCTCTGGGCGCGATAGTTTGAGCGCAATGTCGCCAGCCATCTCGTACAGTTCTATAGTATTTGACGGAATCAGAAGTGCACCAATAAGTCTACACTTGTTTTAGAACTTACCGCAATTTATTAATCCTTCTGTGATTTTTAGCATCAGTTGCTGATCATCCATCAGATGAGGTGTTTTCATGGCCAATCTCGCTGCACGTGCTGGCTTACTGGCCTTCAAATAGAGACTTAAAGCCTTTTCAGGTTCGCTTTGCTCTTCCAGCACTTGTCCGGCTTTCTCTTCCTGCCCGGTGGTTAAAAGAAACTCCATTTGCTGTTGCTTTAGCTGCTGTAGGTCACCATAGCCACGTCGCTCAGCTAAGTTCAGCGCCTCATCCCACATACGAAGTTTCTTATACATTTCAAGTGCTGCTTCGATATCACCCTGCTCCAGGTAAATACGTTCTGCCGTGCGCAAGTCGGAACTCAAGAGCGCCAGTTTGGCGCGCACTTCTGGGCACATAATACCGGGAGAACCCGTGGTCTCTTCAAATTTGTCTGCTTCTTCTATCATTTCATTCAAGTAGTACGCTTTAGATACGTTGCCCAAGGCGGCATAACAACGCTGCGCAACGCGAAGATTGCCATCCTCGATTGAAATGACAGCCAAATTGTGCCACATAGCTTTGGCGGCCGGCTTGTCACCAAGCGTCTCTAGAAAGTGTATTGCGCGTCCGAAGTCGCTGTCGTTAACTGCGGTGCCGAACTCAACGAGGCCTTCGTCCAGCTGATAAGTGTGTTCTGCAGGGCCTTCTTGTGAACGCACATTTGTACGACCCTAATTATAGAATCGGAAGTAATTAAACTATAGTTATATGTACCATGATCTTAATACTAACTGAGTCACGGGTGACTTCGATAACATCGCCGCGTATGGCCATTAGCGTTACATGCTCGGGCAGATCAATATTATACCAGACGGCTAAATTATTATTGTTTTGTGCTACGACTACATCGCTTTGCGGCACCCATTGCACGAATGAGATGTTTGAGAGCAAAGTTTGTTTCTTGCCAGTGTAAATGTCGATTAGCACCAATCTGGTAGCAGCAAGCAGTTAATAATCAGTACTTAGCAAGTCGAATGTTATAAATAAATACCTGAGTTTCTTGTCGCGAAACAATAATTTGTGCGCGGTTTCACTCAATTCGATCCAATCGATTTTGGTCTCGTGATTCACTTGTCCAATGATGAGTTGGTTTATAAGGTCAACAATGCAAATAGTTTTGGCGTCTAGCAAGAATGCAAGTTTCTTATTGTTCCTGTAAAGAAATTACTTATATAANCGTGCTTTCGCCGTACTCCACGAGACTTAGTTCGCCTACATTGAAAATCAAACACACATTCGGGTTCTCGAAATAGAATCGTTCGTGACGCCCCGATGTTGTCCAGGGCACTTCGCTCACCAAATTGCGCGTCAGATCACACAAGATCATCGAGTCCTCGGTGCGTGCAACCAGATAGTTGTCCTTACCCATTATGCGCACGTCGTCGATCTCCAGTCCCAGTTGCGATTCGATGGTCATCTGTTCTGCAGGCTCTTGCAAAGATTTCACCAGCAGCTGGCTGGGTGCCACAAAAATCAGTTCGAATTTGTCTTGCCAGATGGTGCGTTTCAACACTGACTCAAAGAGTATAACCGCACCCGTTACAGAAGCGATTGCCAAGCTTTCGAAAGGAGTATAAGTAAATTTGCATTAAAAAATAAGCGCCTGACACGCCATCGACTCACCGTGCGCCATCGCGTCGCCATTGTACGCAGGTGACCGTGTAGAAGTGCATAATTTCTTTGGTTGCGCTCTCATTCCAATCGGACAAGCGCGGACTCCATGTGAAAATTCGTATCTTGTCATAGCTGCCAAATGCCACAGCTTGACCGTTAGGACTGGCGGCGGCAACAGTAATTTCACGATCATTTCGAGAGTAATCGAATGTGCGCACTGGACGGCCCTATAACATGCAGATATTTTTCAAACCTATGTATATGTAAATAAATGCAAAGTACAGTTTAAGAAGCTTACCACAGTGTCATAGAAAACAATTTTCTGGTCACAACCGCCAGCACAAAATCCACCTTGTGGCCAAGCCAAAGCAAAAGGTGGCACTGGATGCTGCACTAGTCGACCTGAAGATTCATTGGCATCATCGATGACGAAGTAACGTATTATTGTGCCATCGTTGTGGCCAGAAAGAAAGCCAGTGCCTTTGGTATTCGAAGCTAAAGCGATGCAAATGCTCTCTGCAGAGTATAAACTTTGCGACTTGTTGCTTTTACAGTGAAGCGCACGCACCTTGCCATCGTCGAGTCCTGGATGTGGGAAGAAGAAAAAATTAAGGGGATTATTACGGAACCCATTCAGGACTGCTAAAGGACCATATCGGGACTTTTTCGGGATCATTTCGAGATCCACTTAGGACCATTGAGGGCCGTTTTTAAAACCATTTGGGATTAGTTCGGATTTACTGTGGGACTATAAAGGACCGTTTCAAGACTTCATCGAGATCCTTTCAGGACTATATCACAACTTTTACAGAACTCCTTCAAAACAATTTTGAGACCAGTTCGGGAACTCATATCGGGACCTGTTCAGGACTATTTAAGGACCATATCAGGACTTGTTCGAGATCGTTTCGAAACCTAAAGGACCACTTAGGGTCCAGATCACGATTATTTAGGTCCACTTTGGGACTAGTTCGGGATAAATTTCGGACTAATAAATGACCACGATCCTTCCGAGGCAAGTTCACGACTTTTACAGAGCCACTTAAGGATAGTTTTGGCGCTAGTTGGGAATCATTTCATAACTGAATCGCCTCATGTTTTGTCAAGCCGTGCACAGATGTTTACACATCAAATTTCATGAGTGCCTGGTATTCAAGCCTTTCTTATAGTGAAGCTAAATGCCGAGTAGAAAGATTTTATTTCGAATTATGCTTGGCGAGATCGAGTTGTTCCTATCTAAGTATGCAAAAGGACGTCTAAACATGAAAAAGATGCCGTGCAGCTCCTGCAGATAAATACTTATTCAACTCGGAACCCCCTGGTGGTAGCTGAGGAAGAGGAGAAAGCCCCCACTGTGATGGAAAGACCAGGTGGGAAGGACTTGGCTTCACTTGGCGTTTCCAATTGGCGTCAGTTGACACAGAAAAGAAACGACTGGCATGCTTTGTTGAACTCGGCCAAAATCGCTTAAGCGGTTACGGCGCCAAATAAGAAGAAGAAGTATAACAATAATATATGTATGTATGTAGTAAAGCGGAAAATAGAAAGAGGTTGCTTGTATGTATGTGGCTGTGTGATTAGAGGTGCGTACTACCAATTCGTAGGACCTGGGTTCGATCTCGTGTCCAGCCAACATCTATACAAGAAAAAGTAATTTTAGTTTCCTTGTATTAATTTTTTAGTGTAAACTGCGGAAAAAGCAGCAATTTTGAAGAAAATCAATTCTTCTGTTCCAATTAATAAATGTTGCTTAATAAAAAGTAGTTGAAAACAATTGTAAAAAAAATAAAAAAAAAAAATTTGAAATTTTAGAAAAATATTTCTCCAATATTTAACATTTTATTTTTTGCAGTTTTTAGAAATATTTTGGCTGTGCAGTTTCATAGATCGTTAAATTTTAATATAATAAAGTGCAAGTTGCAAGTTTTTCTAAGATTAAAAAAATGAATTTTGGTGAACATTTTTTGTATAATATTTAATTTTTTGTTTTTGTTTTGGGGAAACCTATAATTGTTTTCAACTACTTGTTGTTATGCTAAATTTATTAACTGAAACAGGAGACTTTCGACTTTCTTTAAAATTGCCACATTTTCTGCACTTTGCATTAAAAATTTTAAGACAAGGAAATTAAATTTCCAAAATCGGATACACCTGGCCTATTTATCAAAACTGATAAGCTTTCATTAAAAGAATTATCAAATTGAGTGAAAAATGGAGGCTCCAAGGAAATTAAGAACAGTAAATGACAGTTTTGAACCACTGTGCGGCGTTCGTTCTCGGCAGGCAATGGCTTAGCTAAGACTAAAAAAAAGTGTTAAAAAACAAATGCTTAAACAAACCTGCAATTATGGCACCGGTTGATAACCAAATTAAAGCTGTAACTGCATTTGCCTGTGGAAATTTGTTGCAGA